AATGAGAAAAAGGAAGAGAGAGAGAGAGAGAGAGAGAGAGAGAGAGAGAGAGAGAGAGTGTGGGAGAATGAGAGTGCAAGAGAGATCGAGCGAGAGGGAAACACGAACGGACGATGAGAAGCGAGAGCCAGTGAGAGATATATAATATTTACATACACACATTACATAGCATATGAAAAAAAGAAAGCCGAAGATAAACAATGTAAGAGGAACGAACGCGAATACACGCGCGCGAGCACGCGTACACACTTGAGCCTTCGCGTTGATGGTACAACACACATGCACACAATCAAGGAGAATGTAAGTGAAAGAAGATAAAGAACAAAAAACTGCGTAAAAGAAATACCGATACACCCGCGGGAGCGTAAAATCGCGCGAACGAAGCGAATTAAGAACGACGGATATTCAGCCAGTCAGCGCGTCGTATCTCACATTACACACGTGTCATTCAGATGATATCCTATCCTATAAACTTAATTGTAATTTATAAAGAGAGCCGAAGTATGTATTTATTAAAGTAAATAAGCAATAAAATAAAGTTAAGAACTAAATCTCACCCCGCCCAATCGATCGATCGCTCGTCGCACGATCCTCACGCGACTTTAAGACCGCTAAAATTAAAAGAGGGTGAGGATCTGCGCGTCACGTAGGAGAAAAGAAGGATACTACTCATTAATTTGAGCATGAGTATATTCTTTGAGATTTATTAGATAAATCTGTAGCGTTGCGCGACGTAAAAAAAATTATCTATGATTCTTCTTGGGCGTGGTTCGCACGAGCTGTTGAAACTGTCCCTTGATTAACTGCCACTGCGTGAACTTGTCGGTGGTGAGTTTGAATTCTTTGCATGTCTGCACGAATGCGGGCATACATAGCGGGAGATAGTGATGATCCACGGTGGGCAGCAGGTGGTGCAGCGTGTGAGAGCCGAAGTTCGTGAGCGCCAAGAAGGTTGAGTCGTCGATTACTTTGCGGCCGCGCACGGCGTCCAATTCAAGCAGACCCCAGTCCATGTTATCCCTTCATAAGAGAATTGTTCAATCGTCGTTATCAGTTTCGCGATGGATAAAAAGCTGGACGAATTGTTAAGTCGCAATTAATTTCGTAATAGAGAAAGAGCAACTTTCCCGAGTATAATCTAACAATCCGCAAGAGCGAAGCGACACAAATATTCCGCGACTGATAACATGTGAAAAAATTATAAAATTATGGAATCGATATGCAACAAAGCACCTGTAGATATCGCCATCGTGGAAGATATCCGGGTGATGGTGAGCCGCGTTAAAACCGATCAAGCCGAACAGAAAACTACTCATCAATATCATTATCAACCACAATTTCCACGCGACGAGAATCTTGGGCGCGACAAGGCTCATTGCGCAAGGCAGCAGGAACGGCACAATGTCGCGAAATTCCCAGACACGGTACTCCCGGAATACTGAGTAGTATCTGAAAATTAGAATTGAGAACGTCGAATCTAGGAATTGTGTGAGTCTAAGAATAATGGAGATACACAAACGAATATATATATTGAATCAGTCAAAAAGTTCGGTTCGTCTTTCAAGGTAGCCGACGGCAAGCCACCTTTTAGAATAAAAGATTAGTCTTACAACTTGTACGGAGATCCAGGCCAAAAAGTGATTCATAGCTTGCAGAAAGCTGATTATGGCATGCTTTTGGACTCTTTCTGAACGCTCCACACGGAGAAAAATAATTTGCTGGTACAGCAAATTTTCTGCTAGTCTAGCAAAATCTTTTCGTTATTATGTGGATAGCAAAAAGATTTGCTAAAAGTATTAATTTACTGGATATAATTTGCTAAACCTACAAATTATTTTGCTATAAGAACCACGATGGATTTATATAAGCAATTGCAGTTTTGCTCTGATAGCAAATAAATTTGATAAGGATATATTATTTTGCATCAATAGCAAATTAACGTGATTCTTAGGACAAATACACTCAACAAATTTTTCCTATCCTGGCAACGAAACTACTTTTGCTCTGATAACGAATAATTTGTAAAAAATAGTTTCGTCAACTAAATTTTTTTGCTGTCACTACGAATATGCAGTAGCAACGACGATTTTACTAAAAAAGCAAAATTATTGTTCTTCGTACAAATATGCCATAATCAGCTTCCACTAAGCTAACTGAATCCTCAACTGAGGATATTGCCAGAACGTTGACAAAACATCATAGACAATGGCAACAAACTTGGTCGATGAATACGACCTCTTTTCCATTGATTACGATCTAGTGAACCGCAAAGTCGAACCGAACCTCCTGATCTACCAATTCATTTCGCGTAATCTTGATGAACACGCACAGGATAAAGCATTACCGTTTAATTCCCAAAAGAAGATATAGAAACGTGTAAGCGATGGGACTGAAGAATATTCTTATTATTCCTATGATAAAGGATTTATTCTTGTGAGGGATCCAGTCCATAAACGGCTCGCTCACATACATCTCGTAGTCCCACAGGGTGTTGGTGTACATATGGTGGCTCATTATATGCGTGATACGCCATTCCTTCGAGGACATTATGCAGAGGTCGAAGTAGTACATGCGGAAGTTGTCCCTCATATGGAAGTAATTATGCGCCGCGATCACCGTCCATGTTAGAAAAATTCCTAATGTTTGCGCGATAAAAGGGATATTCTAGTGTGAAAACCCGAAACGCCTTTGCAAGGCGATTTTTGGGAATTAATTTAAAGCAAATGGTTAAATCTACAGAGTTAATGTTTTGTGCTGACATTTATTCATCTTTGAAGAAATATCTCAAATTTTGTCACTTTTTATTCAAAAGTGCAGAAAATACAAGTGAACGAAACAAGTCACGCCGTAAAATCGTCTTCCATCGGGTGTGTTGATTGCCGCCGTCCTCGTCATTTAAAATGAACGAATTTGCTTTTATTTTGTTCTTTATGAATGAAACTATCGCCCGAAATAGAATTAAATAATTTGAAGAAAAATTGACAAAATGGCGGCACTTGAAAAATAGTAGTCTGATTTTTACTAAAAAATTCTAATTTTTCGTGGTGCGGAAAAATAGTAATTTTAAAAATATCCAAAAGATTCTAGTTCGGGTGATAGCCATATTCATAAAGAACAAAATAAAAGCAAATTCGTTTATTTCAGAAGACAAAGACGGCAGCAATCAACACGCTCGATGGAAGACGGCATGACATGTTTTGTCCAATTGTATTTTCTCCAATTTTGAATAAAAAGCTTTGACAAAATTTGAGATGTTTCTTCAAAGATGAATAAATGTCAGCACAAAGCATTAACTCTGTAGGTTTAATTATTTGCTTAAAATTAATTCCCAAAAATCGCGGGTGAAAAACGAGTCTTCAAGCCACAATTCCGTTAGTGTAGCTGATTTTTTTGTTATTTAGGGACCAGATGAAAAGCTTGGTTGTGGGAACAGGAAGATCTCTGAAGGAGGTTTAATATAGCCTTCCTGTAATACTCTCCTTGTAGGAAATTTCTATTCAATCAGTCATTCTCAGCTATCAGGGAAAACATTTAGCTGTATTAAAGCTCGATTGATATCAGTAATTGACTGATACCTCCTGCAGAAATCTTTTCATTTCTCCAATTTTTCTAGCTAATCCCTTATTCTTCAGGCAACAGAAGATCTAGTTAAACTAACGGAATCGTTTTTTCATTGCACAAATGTTTGATATACGTCTCCAGAGACATCCAAGAGGCGTCTAAAACAAATAAGACATTAAACCCTCCCTTCAAACGTCATTCTTTCAAACGTCTCTGAGATGTCTTTTAGACATTTATGCCGCTATGTGGAGAGAAATGGCCAAGACCTTTGTTTCAAGGTACGTTCTTAATTGAATTATATCTCAATTATCCGTCTGCAGTGCCGACGGTGCTCACCGGCGAGAAGAACGAGAGTGTAGGAATGGAAGAATGTGCCTGTTAAAGCCAGTATGAACGTCGTAGTCGCTAAACTATCGGTAATAAGATTCGATGTCAAGGAGGGTCGATGAAAGTCGACATTTTTCAGTGTCTCAATCGCACGCCTCTTGAATGTACGATAGAATCCGTCGGGATGGAAGGTCAAAGGCACCGATCGTGTAGTCGTTGCCTCGCGAACGTAAAATTTCGGTAACAACCGCTCGGCCTTGTCCGTGATGTGGTGACTCTGCGTGATCGATACGATACATTTGGGAATATTAATCGAGACGTGAGACGTTCATTGATCACCTGGTCCGGCTCGTACCTCAAATAATTCAGTAATGTCGGTGCCCTTCGTTAAACTGAGCCATTCTGTACCGCCCGGATGCGATTTTATGAAGGTCTGCAAATCATACAGACTGTTCCTAATCCTCCACAGTCCTTCCGCGCCGTCCACCTTCCTCCTAGCCTCGAGGTAACCCATCGCAGTCTTCTTAAAGCTTTTCCTTGTCTCCAAATGAGCCAAGCCGGGCACTGTGCTGTCCTCCGTCATAATGAAGGTGTTCTTAATCTCGCCTGCAAGAGAAGGTCGCTTTGCGAAAATACACGGTCTGTTACAATTGATAGACAATTGATAGACAATTTAATCGCGAGTCGCTGCTCGGTATGAAAAATTATCGACAATTATCTACAATCAAAAGTACACTTATTCTCTATGCTTATCGCATCACGATATATTGATGTTGTTTATCTCACAACTGACTGCCGCGCTTACTAGCGTGAGTATGAGACTATAACCACTCCCGATTATAACTTTATATAACTCTCTTTTATGTACGCTTAATTGCCATAACAACGATTTAAGAGTGCGAAAATTAAAGTAGTTATTGCTACACTGAGATGGACAATTATTGTCTTCTACAATTTTTCACACACTCACGAGATATCGTGGCGATAACATTTTTCGTCAAAGCAACCATCCTTGAAGATCGCGCACTGCGCACTACACTAGATCGATCAGAAACTGGTTCGCTCCCGCATGAATCTCGATTTTCTCGTTTAAAACCTACCGACCTGTAGCAATGTAACCAAAGGTCCTTGAATTATGGACTCAACCGTGTTATCGAGACTTGTTCACATGCCGTACATAATCGTACATAATCGTATATAATATAAGACGTATATAATCATTGAAAACATATTCTCGCATGCGTCATGTAACGAAAAAATCCGAGTCGATAGTTGGTATTGCATATATGGGCAACTCGGTGATGCGCATAGATTTCATAATGTCGACGGAAAAATACTTGTATTATATATAACACAATACTTGCTTTACACCTTACACTGTGTTATAAATAAGTAATCTTTACAATACTTACACATTACTTCAACGAGAATAGAATGAAATGCGTGGTGTTTGAAAGTCACGAAATTCGAGAGAAATGCGAATGAAGTCCACGTATGTTAAAAAATTCAACAATGAATTGCAACAGTTTATTATTCAAGGTTTCATTATTATTTACTTCAATCAATATTATCTTCTCATTAGAGATGTGCGAATAAAAAATTTTTAATGTCGAATTGAATCGATAAAATTTCAGTCAAATCGAGTCAAATAGTTGAAAGAAATTTTAATTAACATAATGAATTCAATATGAAAATAATAATTTCAATACGAGAGAGATAAGATTGATCATATGATATCAATTCAATTTAAGATAAGATATATAATATATATCGGTAAACGTGTATGAAATATAGTTCCAGCCTTAAAAGCTGCGCAACGACATATATCGATCCGATAGTTGTCGGTAAGAGTTTATCTAGAAGCCATTATCTTCTTTTAATATTTTTGGAGAAAATCTTAATGCTAATGTGCGCGATCCGTATTCGAATCTTTTCGATTCGAAATTTTCGAATTATTCGGATTCGAATCATAGGGATTCGAATTTGAATCAAATCGAATTTTATTTGATTCGATTCGACTCGAATTCAAATAGTTCGCACATCTCTACTTCACATTTTTACGAGATGCCTTTCCGGATCACACGGAAGAAGTGACGTTTACGTACGTGATATGTACATGAATTATCACGTGGGAGAAGGTATAATACCTGTTCAACTCGCAAACACAATCGAGAGCAACGTTGTTTTTATCTTTATCTGGTGGAAAAACTTTGCCGAAATCGATACGCGATCACTGCGATCACGCGAGCGTGCGATTGTGTCGCGGTCGAAACTCGAAACTGACTGTTTCACTGAAATCATGTTGTTGCTAATATGCAGAAGTAATCGCCGATTTATGTCGGTATCGGGGGAAATAAATCTCTGCTCTTTAACCTTGATGTTATTATGTGTAAATAAGTGTATAGATTATTTGTAACTGTCTCCGCGTTATTAAAGCAACTGCTTGAAATACATATAAATTCTTATTGAAACACAGATGAGCTTATCGCTCTTTTTTAACTTGCGACTATTACCGACTCGTTTATCTGCGTTGTTCTCATAAAGAATAATGATCATTCCAAGAAGGAATTGAAAAAATATTTACACAGAAGAGTGTGAAAATGTGCATACGGACGTAATGTAGAGAATAGCAAAAAATAAACATTGTGACTAGAAACTTGTTAACATCTCATAATACAGGTTAAAACGGTCTTGATGTTAAAAAATGTTTTTTTGCTTCTTAATCTCTATCTATCTATCTATTTATCTAATGTGGAAATCTCTGTCTATCAAAATTTTTAAACTTTTTAAACTATTTACATTATTTTAACTATGATTATCCGGCTATAAACAAATTTATTTAAAGGAGAGACGGCTGTTTCAAACTGCGAACAGTAGAAAAACTATAAATGAGCATCTTTGCGTAGAAATAAATATCTCTCAGAAAGAAAATTTCTGTATTCTACCATTACTTGCCATTTTTTTTAATTATTACTTTAAAATAAATCTTTTCTCTGATTACGAGTGTCGTATAAGATCGCTTTTGCGCTGTATTCTTCCCGATGTACATTATTCTCGTTCCGCAAGAAATGAGTGACTCAGAGAGTGTAATAAATTTATTATCGGCGGAATAAATCGATTATTCCAAAACGATATCTTTATATGTAAGATGTTTGTCACGCCGATATATATATATATATATATATATATATATATATATATATATATATATATATATAAATCTAGGATTTATAACTACATCAATATATCGGCGTGACAAATATCTTTCATACAAAGATATTATCTCGAAATAATCGATTTACTTCGTGGATAATTAAATCCTTACTACAGACATGAGCAAAAAAGAAAACTCCACGAGCTCAACAGTCTATAGGCAGAAAAAACTTTGTGGTCACGTATAATGAACGTAGAAACGTTGGAACGTAGTAAAGTGAAGAGACAAATCCAAATATTAGCTTATAAAGGAGTAGAAACAAAGTAAACAAAAGCGGTGTGTCAAACAAAGTATAATTTGTAACCCGAAAAGAAATATTAATAAGGAAAAGATGGTCGATATCAGAGCCATCTGTCATGAATCAAATTCGACACAGGAAAATAAATATTGTCCACTGCGTTGATATCCGACTGAAAATTCAGACTGTTGGTTTGACTTTCAATATGTATTTTCTCTGAGATAAGGCGCTTATGGTAATTTGATTCAATATCCAAAATTACCACGTTATCCCAGTCAGATTCATGGTTCTATTGCAATCTATGGTCCGAGATGGTTGCGTTGTAGTGCGCGAAATGTGTGAGCGTGAATCTTTATCCAAGTTTGTCTCTTGATCTGACTAACATATGAAGCATCGCAGTTGAAACAACTAATTTTATACACTACATAGCTCTTTTGTACCTAAACGGTTTTTTGGACAAAGAATAAACTGATCAAGTTTGATCATCCTATATGTCACTTGATATTTTGAACCTTTTAGAAGTCAGGATATGCTACGTCTCTCACTTAAGGAATCATGAAAAAATTCTATTATGTGTACTCTCCTCTTATCATGTTGAGTGTTACCGTTCAATAAATCATCTTGATAAAAACCATCACAGATTCAGTGTCTCATACGCTTTTCAATGATGCGTAAAATGAATTGCAATGGATAACAATAGTCTAGAAGGATCCGTATGACAATCTTGAGGTCTTTTTCATGGAACATAGGATGCGAAAACTTAAGAGCTCGGTCTACTAGTGACATAACCATACCTCTCTTGTAGCTAATAGGGTGTTGGAAGTAGTTCAAAATCTTATCTCATTATATTGACATTATTATGTTTAAAACAGTTCATATAATGCAGCATCCTGTAGTTTGCAGCAATGTAGTTTACAGCATCCTGTTGGGAAAAAAGAGAAAAAAACAATGCTATGTCGACCTGTATCCAAACGAGTATACCGATTTCGAAATGCTTTTACGAGGTGAAAACACAAACATTAACGAATTTTTTGCGCTACACAAATGCGCGAAAACATGAGATTTTTGTAACCTGCAATCGATAATATAGGTTCATACTTTGCAGACGGTCAGTAACATAAGTTTTACTTTGCCAACTGTCAAATAAATATTTTAATGATTTCGGGCAGCTGTTTCGTTTAATTTAGTTTAATGTATAACGTTGGTAGACTTCGTCATCACAGCTCCTTTATTGTATCGCGCGGTGTGTGATCATATATTCACTGTGTGATCAGATTCAATTTTTTGTGATCAATAAGACCAAATTTTACACGGCTGTTTGCAAAATGATGGAAAAATTTTGCGTTCAGTTCGATGATTTCTTTGGCAACTGCGTAACAAGAATTGTAAAAATTGTAACAACTGTGTAACAATCTGTATTTATATTTACATATACAGTATTGTCAAACGTATTTGTATTTATACAAATACTCAGGCACATAGAAAAACGTAAGCGCACTGAGAAAAAAATTTAGAAATTAACAAATATTCATTAGTAAGTACTTGTTAATATATATATATATATATATATATATATATATATATATATATAT